GGGGAACCCCTCTGCTGGGAGCCCAGCAGGAGAGAGTTGGGCTTGGGCAGCCTGCAGAGGAGAAGGCTCCTGGGTTCCAAAGAATTTGGATAAATTCTCCTGGGGAGACCTTCTGGGGGCCTGCCAGGACTTCCAGGAGCCTGTCAGAAAGCTGGCGGGGGACTTTTTCACAGGGTCTGTTGGGACAGATGAGGGGGGATGGTTTGAAACTCAAAGAGGGAGATTGAGATTGGAAAAAAGGAAGGTATTTTGACACTGAGGGTGTTGAGCCCCTGGCCCAGGTTGCCCCAAGAGGTGGTCACTGCCCCATCCCTGGAACCATGCCAGGAGAGGTTGGCCGGGGCTCTGAGCAACCTGCTCTAGTTGCAGATGTCCCTGCTCCCTGCAGGGGGGTTGGACTCAATGACCTTTGAAGGTCCCTTCCAGCCCAAAACATTCCATGATTCTGTGATAAATTGTGAAGTGCTTTATCCAGAGTACCACAAACTCCTGCTTGCTACCTATTCGTTTCTGGGTTTGAACATCAGGGCTCTCTGGTCCCATGTTGCACACTTGTGTTGCCTTCACATGTGCTGAAGAGTTGATGCCTTTGAACATGGAGCCTTCTGTTTTCATTTATTCTGTGGTGTGGCGTGGAGCCTGTGTGTGTACTCCTACCTCAGTGCACACAGTAGAGTTATGGAACAGTTTGGATTGGAAGAGACCTTAAAGATCTTCAAGTTCTAACCCCCCACCATAGGCAGGGACACCACCTACTAGAGCAGGTTGTTCAGAGCTCCATCCAGCCTGGCCTGTTGCGGTTCTGTGTGCAGAAAGTTTGAATTTCCATTTGGACCATTTTCTTGTCATTTTTCTTGCTCCTCCTGCATCATCATAGTCCTCTTTGTTTTCTTCATTATGTCACGAATTCATGTTGTGTATTAGAATTGTAAATTTATGCAAATTATAGCTTGTGTATACAAATATGTATGTTAGTCAGATTAGCTTGTTTTTGTTCCCTCTTTCAGAAGGGAAGGATGAGAATCCAGAGAGCTTCTCTCGTGGAGTCCCCATCCCTGGAGGGGCTTTAAAGCCACAGAGCTGTGGTGCTGGGGGATATGGATCAGTGAGGACATGGTGGTGCTGGGTTAATGGTTAGTCTTGATTATCTCGAAGGTCTTTTCCAACTGAAACCATCCTATGATTCTTTCTTTCCCTTCCTGGTGAGATCTGCCTTCAGCTGCTGGTTCTGCTGCTCGCCCTTCCAAATCCAACCAGATGCAAGAATATAGATTTGAGTTCTTTGAAATGCTCATACTGAATCCAAATTGGTCATATTCCATCCAGGATTCAAGGATCAGAATATAAATTGGATGAAACTAAGTAAAAAAACCAAAGTACCTAGAGCAGCTGGACTTGGAGAATGTTTAACCTTGGAAAGGTTGGAAATGGGTTTCTCCAGGGAGCAGGAGCAATTTTAATGGGCAGCATCATGGAACAGAAGGGGGCCTGGAGTGATGTTGTGCCCCACCACATCCCTGTGGGGATGAGAGGAATGTTCCCTGTGCTGCACAGGGTTTGGAAATCGTGGCCAGACAGGGCACGGTTCATCCTCCACCTGCCTCAGTCACCCAGATGGACCACGGGGTAGGTTTGGAAAACACGAACTGCAGCATGGGAACCTGCACCACCACAGCAGGTGTCAAAGGTCTGGCTGCTGCGTCTGCTACAGCACCATGCTGAGGTGGCTGAGGTCTCCTTGAAGCAAACCAGGAGATGAGGAGAAGGCCCTGGGGGTGCTGGGGGTGAGGAGCTGCCCAGAAGCCCCAGCGGCCTGTGTTGCACCCCCAGCAGCGTGGGCAGCAGGGCAGGGAGGGGATCCTGCCCCTCTGCCCCGCTCTGGGGAGACCCCCCTGCAGTGCTGGGGCAGCTCTGGAGTCCTCAGCACAGCAGAGACAGGGACCTGCTGGAGCGGGGCCAGAGGAGGC